GGGTCGGGTCGGGTACCGACTAGCACTGACCTGACCCGTGTCAGGTCATGAATTTGATGACCTGACCTGAATATTTCGGGTCAACCCGTCGGGTCACCCGATCTGTCAGGTCAGGTTGCGGAGCTCTACGTTCATCTTAAAAGGATTTGTACAGAGTAGATAATTAAGTTGATAAAGAATCAAATATATTATTGTTTTATTGTATAGTTTCTTATACTAAATTTTACTTAAATAGCGTCTGAAATAAAAAAAGATTAATTAATTAGATAAAATTTATAAAACATCCCACAATACAACGTAATAATAAATAGATAAACTTTATAGCAACTTATTAAAAACACTTTCTCCTTTTTCTTTCTATTTCTAAAGCTATAATATAAAAATTTGATTATTAATGAGTTAATAGACTTAATAAAAAAAATTTATATAAATTGAGTATTTTCATATAAATGTATAATGTAGTGTCTTAAAATACCATTTTACTGCTTCCCAGAAGGCCTGAGAATACTTTGGTTAGTGTAGAGTAAAAATACTGGTCTATTTTTGGCTAAACTTTGACAAACTCGAAATATTAACAAAAACACAGTAGTGTGAGAAATTTTTTGTTTGTGTTATGTGATCGACAACCATTTGAATAAAAGAAAATTTGAATGGTTGAATGTTACAATGCCGATTGAATTTCTCACTTGTAGATGATATCCTCATTTATTTCATTTATTTTATGACATGCAATTTTTTAAATAAAAAAAAATATGGTAATAAAACAAACAAAAGTAAGTCGTACAAAATTATGATATGCAATTTATAAAATAAGTGAGTCCTTAATTCCTTTTTTTTTTTTTATACTTTTTTTTAACTATACAGTCTTCGGCGAAAAATAAAGATGGAAGAAAATTCAAACCAGGTTAATAAAATTTTCCTTTTATTAATATTGACTATTTTAATGAATTAAGACTATTATTAATAAGCTTATTTTATATTACAACTATATGAAGAGTGGTAGTTCATCGTCTGTTAATAGTTCCGCAGAGTTCAAAGCACCTCTGCTTGAAAACATATCCAATAATTGTATCCTTCTCGAGTTAGAACAAGATGGGTTTAATACACCTGATGAAAAGGCAGAAGAACTTATTAAAAATATACCAAAACTAAAATATTTATTCGCTCTTAAATTACTTTTTGAAAACCCATTTAACCAATTTTCGGATGAAGTTCTTCGAAATTCTTTGGTTACATTAGCAGATCCAACTCCTTTTGATTATTATGGAAAACAGAGTGTGGTCAGACTAGAGTTACATATTCGTACCTGGGTTGCTGTATTGGAAAAGATTTGCGTAACACCAATGCGCTTAAGTAAAGAACTTCGAGATAAAGTTTATAGCTCTTTAGCAAAATTTGCAGAAATTCATAAAAAAACAACTCAAGTAATGCAAGAAGGAATTGATAATAATTTTAGATCTGGATTTAATCAATTCAATCAACTACAGGATAATAAAGAAGTTGGAGGCATTATGAAAAAACGGAATTATAATATTGACTTCTTATTAATTCATTTACGAGATACATTACATAGTTTACGTGATGATGAGACTTGGTTTCAAGAAATTATACGAAGAACCAAGGAATTACTTAAGGCTGTATTAAATATTACACCAGGAGTCTTATCAAAAGTAGCATCTGGAGTTGATCTTCCAAATGATAATTGTTCGATCTTATCAATGCTCACTCAATTACGTAAAGGATTAAAATTTAAATATCCGGTAGCATCTTATTATGTAGATTGGAGAATCATGTTGATAATTCAACATAATTTATTCAATTGGTCTAGTAATACTGAAAATATAATTAGTATAAAATTTCAAGAAATGGTATTAATGGAATATTTTTGGAGTTATTTAGAAAAAGAACGGAGTAATGTTGCTTTAAATTCTATTTTAGATTCTCAATCAAAATTTGATGAAATATCAAATAAACTTGTTAAAGTTTTTAAAAATACTGGAAATTTCATTAATGATCTTGTTGAAAATGAACCTCTTGCTTTACCACATACTTTATGGTTTGGAATATTAGATCTTGCACAAAACCTTATTCACATATCCACTCGAAAATCTACACATGGTCTTTGTTATTATTTAGCAATTGAATCACTTAATAGAGCTCCAAACAGTTTCATTCAATTTAAAGCAATCGAAATATTATTTCATTTACATAATATTAATAATCAAATGTTTTCAATTATTGAAATTGACTTTGATCAATACATTCAAAAATTAAATGAAACAGATTCAACAACAGATGTCTCAGAAAAAGAAAAATTCAAAAATTTGTTAATGTTTGTTAGAAAAAAGTGTGCTGATGATTTTAATCCATTAAATTGTAATATTGAAAAAAGAAACAGAAGAGGAAAAGGAAAAGAAATTTTAGAAATGATTGCAAATGAAATGACATGCCCAATTGATAATGAACCAACAGATCAATTATGTGTTTTAAAATGTCAACATATATTATCATTTAATAATTTAATAAAATTGAAACAAAAAAATTGCCCTAAATGTCGAGAAAATTTTGAAGATAATGATATTAGATATTTACCACTAAATGTTATTTACAAATATTTATATCCACAATTTTTTGAAGCTGGACATATTTTAACTTCATTTGAAATAGAAAATTTAACTAATAACCAATATGATAGTGATTCAGATAATTCAGAAGTTGACCTTATATTAACTAAGAAAAAGAAAATTCTAAAAGCAGTTAAGTTAAATCCAAATATATCATTACAATCAATATTTCAAATTGGGAATCCAAAAAAACAACATCCAACATATCAAAATGCTATGAAAGAATTAAAAGAAAAGAATTATAACAATGCTGAGCATTGGTGTAAACAATTCCTTAAAACTTTTCCAGAAAGCTATTCCATAAGATGTATTTTAGCTTATATCTATAGATGTTGTGATGATTATGAGAAAGCATATTTACATTTAAATGAAGCAATTAATTTGAAAGAAAAAAGACCTATTGCTTGGTATATTCGTGGAAAAATTCGATTTAAACAAGGCAATTATAATGATGCAGATAAAGATTTAACAACTTCAATATATTATAAAGCTAAAATAAATAATATATATACGATACTTGGAATTATTTATCACGATATTTTTAATTATGAATATGCTTTAAAACATTTTAAAATTGCATTAAAAAATGATCCAAATAATTATTTATGTCTTAAGTATTGTGCTTGTATTTATGAAAAGCAAGGAAAGTTCTCAGATACTTTAAAAAAGTTAAAAAATTTACTTAGTATAAATGAGAAAGATTCGTTAATTTTATGTTATTATGGAGAAATTTTAAGTGAAATAGAAAAGTATGATGATGCTATAACATATTTTACAAAGGCATATCTAATAGATCCAGAAAATGTTCATAATTTAACTAAGAGAGCTATTATATATTATATACTTCAGAAGTATGATAAAGCTTTATTGGATTTTAATAATGTAATACAATTGGATAATTCAAATATTTTAGCATATTATTGTAAAGGATTAGTATACTATATAATGGAAGATAATAGTAATTCTATGGTAGCATTTAAAAAATGCATTGAATTGGATCCTAATGATGATTTAGAAAAAATGTATTTGGAAGATTCAAGCTATTATCTTTCTCAAATTTCTAATGTTGATTATAATTTAAAGTGTTTGCCAAATTATCATGATCTTATTGCTAAAATTAACCAATCTACTAATATTTATAATGATAAATCATTACTTTTTATGAGGTGCAAAATATATTGAAATAAAAGATTATCATAAGGCAAAATTAGATTTAAATAGATTATTTGAGTTGAATGATGATATATCATTTGTTTATTTATTACAAAAATATTCAGATTTTTGGTCATGCTTGTGTAAACCATATTTTCTTAATGATTTGGTTCAACTTAAAATTACTAATAATTTTAAGCTTTATATGTATAGGGGTAAGTACATTTAAATTTAATATTCTGCAAATTCTGCAAATTAATTACTACATTCTAACATAGTAAATTATTTGCAGCACAAGGGGTTTATTTTATGTCTAATCTTATGAATTTCGGTCATAATTATCAATTTCGAGAAAGTTATTTAGATAGGTAAATATATTTATAATATTATTTGCAATTTAAATAATCATATATAAAATTAATAATTTTAAAAATCTGTTTGTCAAGGCGCACATTATCTTTTGAAGACAATCATTTAAGCTTACTTACATTTCCTATTACTGGTATTTTTTTCCTCGAAGATGATTTCTACTATCATATAATTTGGAAAATAAATATCAAAAAAATAATTTCACCAGATTGTTATATTAAATTTAAAGTTATAACAAATCCAGTAAGTGTAATTAATAGTAAATATTTGTTTTGTTTAATTTTAGTTAACAACAATTAATGTGAATAATTCTATAATTTCATATTAAGACTTACATGAATACAGAATATATATTAAAATATAAGGATATATTAAAACTTGAGGGATTAGGTTGGATTTCGTATATGTCATTTCGCTCTATGAATTTAAAAATCTATAAATTAAAGCATCTTACAATTGAAACAAAAAAGGATTCTATTGACATGGTATGCAATTTTATTTTCATCCTTTCGATATATACAATATATGATTATAACATTATCATTCCTTTATTTACTATAGCAAATAGAATATTTCAGAATTACTCCCAATCGTCGTAAAGAACAAATTTATTTTCCCAAAATAGTTCATTTATTACCATTTTACATGAATAATATTCCAGAATCTTTTAAAGACAAGTATTTTTTTAGAAAAGAAACAGAAAATTTGCTTGAATTAAAAGACATTATTAATAATCTATAAATTATATATGTATCTCATCTCTGTATATTAAAAAAGGGAGGTTTAATTTATTTATTTTATATTATAGTACATTTAACAGGCAACAAGGTTAAAGGCTAAGCATTGAAAATACGTGCTCATAATTAGTTTAGTAGTATAAAAGATTCTTATATGGTATAATCTTCAAAATATATTTATTGACGCTTGAATTCCTTTTTTTTATAAATATTCATGATCATCTTAAATTTATATAAATTTTCATTTTAAATTTTATTAAATTAAAGCAAACTAACTTTTTAACATTAAATTACCATACGGGTGAGAAATGTAGTTGAAATGGGTTTTTTATTAATTTAAGTCTCGCAAAAATTTCCGCAAATTAAGATTAATTATTATACAAGGGAATGGGAATCGACCATTGTAAGTCCTTAGTAATTGGAAGTATATCCGTGACAGAGATCAAAAAATTAAGAATCAAATTTTAATTGGTGAAAATCACGTGAGGAATAGTAAAACACCCGTGACTTCAAATTTTAGTACTATCGCTGGACAATTAGTAAATACTGTAAATTATCACCTGGCTACTAATTGGTATTTAGGATTTTTTCCGCCAGTTATAAACTGGCAGACCAATTAGTATATCCAGGATGATAAAAAAGTTATTTACTGATCTAGTTTAGTATATAAATGGGTCATCATCCTTCAGATGATAACCCATTTATATACTACTAGATTAGTAAATAACTAATGCATATATGTACTGTATACTTTTCATTCAATGCATAAAGTATTTTATGTGTTATTAATAATTATAATCTTCCGGGCAATTAAGGCTTTAAGGGACATAATTTAAAACATTTTAAAACAGTTTTTTTGACATTCTCATTCCCTTTGTCGTAATGGAAATTGCGTTTGATCATGTTTTTAAGATCTAGTAAAATTTGTTTTTAATTAAAGAAAAAATTTTTTTCCGAAAAAATCAAAAAAAAATTAATTTGGTCAAAAATAAATTATAAAAGAAACTTCCAGTATTGAAATAAAGCCAAAATAAAAATTGATTAAAAAATAATTTTTTTCGATATTGAAAAAATAAAACCAAAAAATTTTTTGGTTTTAAAAGAAAGTTTGAAAAAAAATAATTATTTATTTTTTCAGATTGAACTTAATAAGAAAGATCAAACTTTTTTATTTATTAATGACGTTCAATTAATGGGTTGGCTGAGTCACTGACGGTAGATTTTTTTCTACGGTATATTTTGTGACCGAGATCAACAAATTTTCAATAAGATAAAAAAAGTCATGATGATTAAGACGTAGATAACGATAACAACCCATTTTGTTATAGCAAACAGAGCAAACAGATAATATTTGAAAAAGATTTACATTATTTGATAAAAAAAATTTACATCTTAGGAGAGGGAATATTTTTAATAAAAAGCGACTTTGGTAGTAATTTATAATTTGTTATTTTATTTTTAACTTTATTTGATGGCTCATTTGAATGTATATTTTTTATAGAAGTAGGGATGGCAAGGGTCAGTTCGGTTCGGTTTCTGCAGTTTTCAACCAAAACTGAACCGACCGCAAAACTGACCGATAAAACTGAACTACAAAACCAATTGCAAAAATACTGCAAAATCGAATAAAATAATGCCATAAAGTATCAACTATAATTTTTTGAATAATATTCTTTAATTTACGTAATTCTTTTACAACAATAACGCCGACGTTGTGATTTTTCAGAGAAACGAAAAATCACGTGATCAACGCGTAAATTCGATAATTTCAAAAATGAGAATATTATACATAAAATGGTATTCTCAATAAACAAAATCATTTTTTTTTTTGGAATATATTAAAAATTTACAATTAACCGATCGGTTTTTTGATCGGTTTTTTTTATATATAAAACTGACGGTTAACCGGTCGGTCTTGGACTGAAACTGAACCGATAACCGAACTGGTAAAACCGGTTATGATCGGTTATAACCGAACTTTTGGCATCCCTATATAGAAGTAAAGTCTGTTGATTCGTAGATTACTAATTTATAATGTTATAAAAATTGTAAAAAAAAAAATCCATTTATTTTTTTATCTTAGGTTTAAAAAAAGAAATGTTATAAGGATTAAAGAATTTTACTCAAACAATTATGAGAAGACGTGTCGTATTTGTAAATAAAGAGATTTGTATTTATGTATTAGTCATTTACTGATCTAGTAGTATATAAATGGGTTATCATCCGAAGGATGATGACCCATTTATATACTAAACTAGATCAGTAAATAAGTAACTTTATTTAACTTATTATAGAATGTATTCCGCAGTAATCCTTTCCAACTAAGTATAAACTAGCTTTGGATCCAATAATTACTATAAATGCAAAACCAAGAAATTTGTAACCTATCAAGTATTTGCCGTAAGTTCAGCGGGTACTTGCCGTAAATCAATAGATATCTGTCGCAAATTTGGCAGACAACTTGTTTAATATTTTTATGGATTAGATTCCACATTTAATCTAACCATAATTCTTATCTTTTTTTGTTAGAAAAGGAAATCGTTTGCCATCCTTTTCTCCTTTTCTCTTTTCGTAATAAAAAGACTCAAAAATTCAAATAATGGAAATCATTTTCAATTTTTGACTTATCCTTTTCTATTTTTTTATAAAAAAAATTAATATCTTTTATTCTTTTGTAAAAGAAAACTCAAAGATTTTAATAGTTAAATTAATTTTATAGTTACTGTATGATGATTAAATTTTAATTTTGAAAAAAAAATAAAAAAGATAAATCATCAAAAATTTAAGTTGTAAAAGTATTAGTAAAAAGGAAGAGGATAATAGTAATTCATTATTTTTTCGATTTGATCAGAACAAAAAATATTAATAATGTTTAGATAAAGAATTTTATTTAAGCGTATAGAAATTTCTTGATTAGAATCATTTCCTGTCAGAAAATCCACCAATATGAATAATCTTAACCAATTAGTAATCACTTAAGCATTATTATTTATCTTTTATACTTTATATTATTGAAATCATTTCAAACTAATTAATTTTATTTATAATTTTATCTTAATTTTATCATTATTTTTTCCGGTATATCACATTTTGTATGTGTCACAACTGTCACTTGCTTTTTAAAGTAAATATTTCTTAATTTTTTGAATTTTGCATATTCTAGAACGAAATTCAAACCAGGAAAATAAAATTTGTATAAACGTTCAAAATTTTTATAAACTACTGTATATTATGGCTTTACACATATTACGAAAAAAATTTGCCAACGCGCTTAAATATAATAGTTATAACTTAATCAATTCAATCGATTACAGGATAGCAAAGAAAATAAAAAAATGGTAATTTTAAACACGGGCTTCTCCTGCAAGTCACGTTTTTTACGTGATGATTAAAGAGACTGTATAAATATTTCTTATTAATAGCAGCGTCTTGAATTACTATTTTTAAACGGTATTTGTTCAATCTTATCCATTTATATCAAAAAATTAATTTTATTTACCTGGTAAGGTAATATATAACTAATATTGATACCAAGCTGCGGAGATGAAGCAAATTCTTTCTAGCTAATTTTTTGGTATGTAAAATGTTGCAACTCGCAAGTCACAATTCATAGTTCGTTATTTTAATTGACTTCCATCTGATGGTAAACAAATTTATCATCATTAGTGAATGAGAAAATCGTCATAAAATTCAGCTATTGCTATTACTATCTTTTAAAGTGAACAATTTCTATAAAATTCGATTCTTTTTGTAAGCCCAGAAAACTAAATAGTTGCGAACTAGAAAGTTATAGAAAGTAAACACAATTAATTTCCAGTAACATTAAATGGTAGAAAATAATTACAAAGTTTCACGATAAAATTTGAAATTGTTAATTTTTCATGAAAATAAGAATTTATAATACGAAACTTTATTTATTTAGGGTCTGTATAATGTAAGTTAATTAGTACTATATTAATAATATATTTGGGCAAATAAAACAAATATGTAATACTATATAAAAGAAAATAATAGATTTGAACGATCCTAGCATCGCCACCGAAAAATGGCAGCCAGGTTTATCTAATTAACTACGTCAGATTAAATTTCCGAATCAAATAAATATATTTTTTTTTTCTTTTTCTTCACTATAACATTTTTTATAGACTCATATTTAAAAGTAAATCACGTAGTAAGCCAAAACGACATTTAAAATATCCGTTTAAAATTTAAGTCATTAGAGAAAATAAATAATAATATTATAATGCCAAAAAATCGTTAAACTATGCCAAGAACCTGGAAAGATTAAGAATATAATGTATTGGGATAATTATATTAAAAAATTCTTTAAATATTTTGTTCTACAATTCTACCGAAAAAGATTATCCGAAATCACATGTAGCCGGCAAATAAATCCAAACTACCCGATCCGAATTTACCCGGATAGGATAAACGGATCACCGGATTCAGTAATCACGTGATATAGATCAACAATTGGTGACAAATGGGAGACTAACCGAAATAACAAGTCCTTAAAATACTTAAAATGGAAAAAAAGAGGGTGTGATGCCTTGTTTCTTTGGGTAACGCTAGGCTAGATAGATTCGGCATAATCGCCAATCATTACTCATATAGTGAGATTATCATATTTTGTAGACGTTACTAAATAAATAAAAAAATGGGGAATGGAAGTCTAATATATAAATACAACGAGTCCTTGATTTTTTTATACTTTCTGGACTTTGCGTCTTCGGAAAAAAATGGAAAGAAACTCAAACCAGGTGAATAAATTTTATATGAATATTGTATATATTGATCAAGATTTTTAAGATTATTAATAATCTTATTTTATATTATATTTATATATAGAGTGAAAGTTCGTCGTCTGCTAATAGTTCTGTAGAATTAAAAACACTTCTGCTTGAAAACACATCCAATAATTATATCCTTCCCGAGCTAGAACAAGATGGATTTATTACACCTGATAGAATAGTAGAAGAACTTATTAATAAAGATTTGACTAAAATCGAAAATTTATTTGCTCTAAAATTACTTTTTAAAAATCCACTTAATCAATTTTCGCCTGGAATCCTTCGTAATTCTTTAGTTACTTTAGCGGATCCGACACCTTTTGATAATTATGATAAATTAAGTGTGTCTAGGTTAGAGTTACATATTCGTACCTGGGTTGCTGTATTAGAAAAAATTTGCGTAACACCAATGCGCTTAAGTAAAGAACTTCGAGGTGAAGTTTATAATTCTTTAGCAAAATTCGCAGAAATTCATAAGAAAACAACTCAAGTAATGCATGAAGGAATTGATAAAAATTATAAGTCTGGATTTAATCAATTCAATCAATTACAGGATAATAAAGATGAAGGTATTATAAATAAACGAAATTATAATATTGACTTCTTATTAATTCACTTACGGGATACAATACATAGTTTACGTGATGATGAGACTTGGTTTCAAGAAATTATACGAAGAACCAAGGAATTGCTTAAGGCTGTATTGAATATTACACCAGGAGTCTTATCAACAGTAACACCTGGAGTTGCTCTTCCAAATGATAATAGTACAATCTTATCAATGCTCACTCAATTACGTAAAGGATTAAAATTTAAATATCCAGTAGCATCATATTATGTAGATTGGAGAATTATGTTGATTATTCAACATAATTTATCCAACTGGTCTGGTGGTACTGAAAATATAATTAGTAAAAAATTTCAAGAAATGATATTAATGGAATACTTTTGGAGTTATTTGGAAAAAGAATGGATTGATGTTGATAATAAATCCATTTTAGATTCTCAATCAAAATTTGATGAAGTATCAAATAAACTTGTTAAAGTTTTAAGAAATACTGGAAGTTTTATCAACGATCTTGCTGGAAATGAACCTCTTGTTTTACCACATACTTTATGGTTTGGAATATTAGATCTTGCACAAAATCTTATTCAAAATTCTATTCGAGTATCTACACATGGTCTATGCTATTATTTAGCAATTGAATCACTTAATAGAGCTCCAAGCAGTTTCATTCAATTTAAAGCAATTGAAATATTATTTCATTTAAATAATATTAATAATAAAATGTTTTCAATAATTGAAATTGACTTTAATCAATACATTCAAAAATTCAATGAAAGCAATTCTACAACAGATTCCTCAGAAAAATTTCAAAATTTGTTAACATTTGTTAATAAAAAGTGCACAGAAGATTTTAATCTATTAAATTATAATATTGAAAAAGGAAAGGGAAAAGGAAAAGAAAAAACTTCATCAATCCAATATACAAACTTAACAAAAAAAATTTCAAAATTGGGCGAAATTTTAGAAATGATTGCAAATGAAATGACATGCCCAATTGATCATGAACCAACAGATCAATTATGTGTTTTAAAATGTCAACATATATTATCATTTAATAATTTAAAAAAATTGAAACAGAAAAATTGCCCTAAATGTCGAGAAAATATTGAGGATAATGATATTAGATATTTACCACAAAATGTTATTTATAAACATTTATATTCACAATTTTTTGAAGCTGGACATATTTACCTTCAATTGAAATGGAAAATTCAACAAATAACCAATATGATAATGATTCAGGTAATTCAGAAGTTGATCTTATGTTAACTAAGAAAAAGAAAATTCTAAAAGCAGTTAAGTTAAATCCAAATATATCATTAAAATCAATATTTCAAATTGGAAAAAAACAGCACCCAACATATCTAAATGCTATTAAAGGATTGAAAGAAAAAAATTATAAAAATGCTGAACATTGGTGTAAAGAATTTCTTAAAACTTATCCAGAAAGTTATTCTATGAAATGTATTTTAGCTTATACTTATACATGTCTCAATAATTATGAACAAGCACATTTATATTTAAATGAAGCTATTAAATTAAAAGAAAAAAAACCTACTGCTTGGTATATTCGTGGAAAAATCCAATTAAAACAAGGCATTTATAATGATGCAGTAAAAGATTTAACAACTTCAATTTATTATAATGCTAACATAAATAATTTATATACAATTCTTGGAATTAGTTATTATAATAATAATAATGATGAATATGCATTAAAAACTTTTAATATCATGTTGAAAAATGATCCTAATAATTATTTATGTCTTAAGTATTGTGCTTACATTTATGAAAAGCAAGGAAAATTCTCAGATACTTTAAAAAAGTTAAAAAATTTACTTAGTATAAATGAGAAAGATTCATTAATTTTATGTTATCATGGAGAAATTTTAAGTAAAATGAAAAAGTATGATAGTGCTATACCATATTTTACAAAAGCAAATAATATAGATCCAGCAAATGTTCATAATTTTACTAAGAGAGCTATTATATATTATATTCTTCAAGAATATGATAAAGCTTTATTGGATTTTAATAATATCATACAATTAGATACTTCAAATATTTTAGCATATTATTGTAAGGATTGACATATTTTATAATGGAAGATAATAGCAATTCTATGGTAGCATTTAAAAAATGCATTGAATTAGATCCTAAAAATGATTTAGAAAAAATGTATTTGAAAGAATCAAGCAATTATCTTACTCAAATTTCTAATATTGATTATAATTCAAAGTGTTTGCCAAATTATCATAATCTTATTGCTAATATTAGTGAATTTGCTAATATAAATTATGATGAATCATTACTTTTGATGAGATGCAAAATATATATTGAATTAAAAAAATATGAAGATGCAGTATTAGATTTAGATAGATTGTTTGAGCTAAATGATGATATCTCATTTGCTTATTTATTACAAAAATATTCAGATTTTTGGTTATATATGTGTAAATCATATATTATTAATTATTATACTCAACTTGGAATTACTAATAACTTTGATCTCTATATGTATAGAGGTAGGCATATTAAAATTTAATATTCTATATATAATTGCTACATTCTAATATAGTGAATAATTTATAGCACGAGGGGTTTATTTTATGTCCAATCTTAATTATAATTATCAATTTCAAAAAAATAATTTAAATAGGTAAATATATTTATAACAGTATTTATAATCTAAGTAATTATATAAAATTAATTATTTTAACATCTGTTGTTAAGGTGCACATTATCTCTTGAAGACAATTATTTAAGCTCACCCCAACTTTCTATTACTGATATTTTCCTCCTTTTCCCCGAAAATGATTGTTATGATATAATTTGGAAAATAAATATCAAAAAAATAATTTCATCAGACTGTTTTATTAGATTTATAGTTGAAGAAAGTACAGTAAGTGAATAATAAATATTGCTTATTTAATTTTAATTAACAATTAATTGGTAAATATTTCTATAACTTCATATTAGATTAACACAAAAATGGATTATATATTAAAATATAAGGAAATAGTAAATCTTGAGGGCATAGGATGGATTTCATATGTACCATTTCACTCTATAAACTTAAAAATCTATCTACCAATACAACTTTCAATTGAAACAAATAAGGATTCTATTGACATGGTATATAATTTTATTCTCATTTTTTTGAATATGTACATTATATATGATTATAACATTATCATTTCTTTATTTATTATATAGCAAATAGAGTATGTTCGAATTACTAAGGATTATCATAAAGAACGAACTTATTTTCCTAAAATGGATCATTTATTACCATTTTACGCAAATAATGTTCCAGAAACTTTTAAAGACAAATATTTTTTAAGAAAAGAAACAGAAAATTTGCTTGAATTAAAAGACATTATTAATAACCTATAAATTATAATTGGTTATTCTATATATATAGTATCTCATCTCCATCCCAGAAATTATACAGTATATAGGCTGTTTCAAATTTCAAAAATTCTCTATATCTTTACCTAACAATTTACTAATAGAATTCAATAAGTATTACCCAAAATAAAAATTACTTATTATAACATAAATTCGATGATTTTATTGGATTTTATACTTCTACTAATCAAAAATTGTTGCAATAATTCTAATTACTTGTTTTTGTGAGAAAAAGTAAAAAATTTCCTAAAAATTTTCTTCCAAACATAAACGATTAGGTAAGCTTGCAACATTAAGTAATTATATCTAAGCTGTTATTATCAAAATAATAAATAACTTGCTTTGGAATTATATGTGCAAATAAATTGTAACTGAATGATAAGACAGAGAATTTATATCTTGAAAATGACTTCCTTTGATACAACCCGACCCAGCCCTAGGGATGGAATCAGTTCAAAATGAGCTGACTCCAGTCAATTCTAGAACCAATCTTAAATTTAAAAGATTCTGAATCTCTTTGGCTTAAAACTACTTTTAACCATAAAAATCGTTTTGAACTTTGAACCGATTTTGACGAACCGACTCAAGTTGAGTCATCTGATGATCACACACCAACTATGGCCAATCAAAATTTTTCTGGTTGATATCACATGCTATATTTGTTGTTGCACGTAGAAGGACCTCAAAAAATATTAAAATAGATAAGGTCCAACCAAAAAAAATTACTATTTGCTCGCATTTTTTCAAGGCCGGAATTATGATAGTGTCAGTCAGTTACTAAAACAGGAAATAAAATACTGGCTAACATTATCAAAAATTGTCCAAAAAGGAAAGACCTACATGATTATTTTTTCCTATTCTACGCATTCTCTCCTCATTTCAGTATTTTTCGGGGTCCTCACGTAGCTCATATTTTTATTTATTAGAGCTGATGTACAGCCCAGCCTAAGGTTATAATCTCAAAATATAGTATTTATTGATGCTTGACTTTATAAATATTATTGCCATTTTAAATTTATACAGTATTAACTTTCATTTTAATTTTTATTAAATTAAAGCCATCCCACATTTTAATAATAATACACATTGCTCTATTAGTATTAATTTATGGCATATCAATTTTCACATAAAACCGCAATTCATTTGACTTTTGCTAAACCGCTTAAACTGCAATTAAGGTAAATTTTAAAAATGGGGAAAATACAATTATACGAAATATATGTAAATATATGAAATATAGCAACATAATTTTATCAGCGCTTTATGCTAAATCAAGCATAGTATTTGTTTCTTGTGCAAGTACAAATCAAGTATAAAAATGGATCATTTCTCTATCTAACTTCTTTCGCAAAAAATAACAATTTTTAAAAAGTGTTGAATTAACTTTGACGAAAAAAATGAGCATACTCTACTCTACATACATTTAATAAATTTACTACGCATTATATTATAATAAGAAGACTACAGTTCCAGAGTTTATGAAAGAAAATATTAAGAAGAAGGATGGTACATTCGTACATTAGATGATATTGGTTTACAGTTAGATAGCAAACTTAATAATTTAGATAGCAATGCTGAGTAGTGGGAAGGAACTGCCACTATATGGTTAGGGCTCGGCAGATTTTGACAAGCAGATGTGTTCTTTCAATTAATTAATGATGTATCTACGCGATGGAATTCCAGCTACTTAGCTTGGGTCCGTTTACTATATTTAAAAGGATGGATCAAAATTTTACTAAATATTCTATTATGTAATGCAGACTCAGATTCAAAGAAAGATGCAAAATGATTAAAACAAATAATGATTGCTGATGATGAATGGGATCTCATCGCTGACCTAACAGAAGTACTATCAATATTTGCCAATGCAACAGAAAACTTAGAAGGGAGTAAATATGTGACAAATAGTATGCATGTACCAATGTTAATGGAGATTATTAAAATGGTATTAACTGATACATTATATAATCAAGATCCCGATGAAGAAGAGGATGATACATTTGAAAGTAAAGATGCAGAGGAAGATCAGGATTCTGGATTAAACAATAAAATTAATGAACTAACTAATACTTCTGGTTTGTTAGATGTAGTTAAATCAAGATTCAAGACTGTATAAAAATATAATGAAATATTATCCAACCCTTACCACTGAATACCTAATTCCCTCTATACTTGATCCTAGATTTAAAAAACTTGATTTCGCTCCAGAAGCTCAACAAATCAATACTAAACATCATTACGAAAATTATTTGAAAAAGAAAAGGAAAATTGTCCGCCTTGTGCAACTAATTCGTCAATTCAATCAATATCCCAATCAAAATCTTTAACAGAAAGAAAGACTCTGATGGCACGACTTTCGAAGCCTAACGTAGTGGTTGTCAATAAAGTTGAAGAATACCTTCAGTTACCCGAAATTCCCTTAGAATCAAATCCACTTACATGGTGGAACGAAAAAAAAGAAAGATTTCCTATCCTAAGTGGCCTTGCTCGAAAATACTTAGCAGTTTCTGCAACTTTAACTGCTAGTGAACGCCTATTTTCAGATGCTGGGAATCTACTAACTAATAAAGAACAAGAATGAAACCAAAATTATCCAAAAAAGTGATGTTTTTAAAGAGAAATGCGTCCAATTTTAATACAATCCATCCCGTAGATCCTATAGAGTATAGATAAATTACCTAGTTCAGTCTGTCAAACAGGCTTTTTTTTAATAAAGATTTGAAATTTGAATTTATGATAAAATGATATTTGATTAGTATTATTAAAAAAATAAAAAATTAAAATTGGGATAATATTTTTTTAATAAAAATTTATTTTGATAAACCATTATATATCCGTTAAATAACCGTTAGTATAACAGATAAACCAGTTCTGACCCGATTAGAAACCAGATAGGAAATTCATTTATAAATGTTAATCCGGATCTTGAATCTTGTTAACAGATGGACCCGGTTAACCCATTAGCAATCCGGGTCTGAACACTACATATAGCAACTTTATCTTTATTACTTTTAGATGATTGGTTAACCAAATCAATATGCTCTAACAACTGTTTTCTTCTCCATTTTCTAAATCCGGTGATCATGGGACATATCCATATTCCCTAATTTAATAATATTTATATTCGATTCATTACCTTCTTTTTTATATACCCTAGTATTATAATTTACCGCATCCTTATAGAATAAGTTTATTTCAAATTGTTGTGTTAATTTTAAATTTATAGATAAGTTATTTTCTCTTATTTCATTAACTCTTGATTTCGTTAACGCTTCTTCGAATTTTTCTTTATTTTTGAAAACAGGATCATATTCCTAACTTTATTTATTATATATATATAATAAAAATTGAGTTATACCTGTAGCTAAATCTTCGTAGTTCATTTACTGATTCTACACTCAAAATATTGTCTACTTCTTCATGTACTGTATATCTCTTATTAATTGCCATTGATCTCTTTTTGCACGTTCGATTTTGGTACCATTATAATAGCAAACCTAATTATACCAATAACTATTCCGAATTCTACTAATTTGCAAATTCCTCTAATAGACCTACTATTTAGTATTTCCGTTCTAACTATCTAATACTTGAATCATTTTTGATTTTAAATCAATTTAACTACTTCTAACTTACTTAATTTATTTATTAAATCCTCATCTTTTCAAAACTTGGGAATATCAAACAAAAAAATATTGCAAAATTTTTGTTATGGATCATGTAATGGAGGAGTTATTACATGTCTATCACCATCCTATTAATATGCTTTTCTTTTAAAAAAAAAATGATAATTAGCAAAAAAAAAATAAAATGAAAAAAATTATGAAATAAGAAAAATAATATGAAAATTGGTGCTTACTATAGTATCAAGTGCCTCGGCAAGCCCGACCTGAACCTAAAAAAATGAAAAAAAAAATTAGCAAAAAAATATCTAAATAAACAAAATCATGAAACAAAAGAAAAATATAAAAATCGATTCTTACTGTTATAGTAAAGCAATTCAACGAACCTGATCTTGGACCTATTAAAAAAGATAAAAAAAATAATTAGTTAAAATAAAAAAATTTGGTGCTTACTGTTGTACTGTATCCCGACCCTAAGAGATGAAAAAAAAATTTTTTTTTTAAAAAAAAACATGAAAATTAAATAGAAAAAAAAATCAAAAGTTAAGTTATGAAATTGAAGCTTACAATAGTACTGCAGCACCTTGCTGTACCCGATCTGGACCTAAAAAAAAAGATAAAAAAAAAATAATTTAGTAAAAGAAATTAAATAAAAAAAAAATTATGAAATGAGAAAACCGAAAATTGGCGCTTACCATGGTACTACAGGATTAAGAGTGCTATCCAATCCGTGAACTTGGAACGAAAAAAATCTTTTTAATAATGAAATTAATAAAAAAAATCAAAATATAGTAGCTTATTGTAATACTGCAGCACCGATTTAAATCTAAAAAAAATAATTAATAAAAGAAATTATATAAAATAATTTGCGAAATGAAAAGAAATGCTTACCATAGTGCCCATAGTGCCGCAACGCTGATTTGGACCTGAAAGATGAAAAAGAATTTTCTTTTTGTGAAAGGAATTAAAATAATACAAAATTCAGCACTAACCGCAGTAAAGCAAATTTTTCTTGTAAAAAAAAAAAATTTTTTTCTTTATGTATTAACTTATAAATCAAATCAAGTATAATAATGTAATGAACAAAGACACAAAAAGAAAAGAAAAAAAAAATCTAATTAATAATCAATTACCATTACTTAAGACAAGTGAAGAGAAAAAAAAAGACGTGTTACAGCTATTTTCATAAGACCTGGGACAAAATAAATTTTTGAACCCGACCGCCAACCCACCGATCCAGTTCAGTTGTTATTTATTTTACAAATCAAACAATCAAATCTGGATCACGTGCCCAGCTAAAAATACCGGCGGCAGATCGGGTTCAAAAATTTAGTTTGTCCCAGGTCTTATGAAAATCTCCGCAGTACATCCATATCATGTTAACTACCCCAGTCGCACCGACAAAAAATTTAGCACAGGGCCGGCATTACAGCATATGCACGAACACGTGAAAATAAACAGTGACGAATAATGGGTGATGAATAAGTTTTTACCTACTCGAAAAAACGTCCCTCAATAAGTGTGACGATATGATAAATTAAAATATGTCACGTGATCGCTAAATTTAGTTATATCATGTTGATCTACAGATTTTGGCCAACGCACTTGCCTTTCTAAAGTAAAAATAAAATAAAAAAAATGAATTGACATCAGTATTTATTATATACAAAAGTTAATTTTAACTTTGAACATAGGTAATTAACAAACTATTATTTAAACTTTATATAAAATTTTTATTACTTGAGTTTTATTTCCTTTGGTCATCCTTAACAATTGCAACAACTAACTACTAAAACATTTGAGTTTGCATCACCGGATTTGAGTGGCTAGATTTTAACTATTTAACAAGTATGGAAACATTCATTTACAGTATCTATTTTTATTAATAGAATCTGAATATTTGTAAAAAATAAATATTTTTTTAATGAAATTAACCGTTCTTCGGACATAATTTCAGTACTTTGCTAAATGAAATAGGATTAATAATGTATGACTATTTCAAATAATGACTTCTATTTTATATGGCGAACTTTATTTCTATAGTCAGTTACGATCTATATAGCAAAGAGTTTCGAAAAGTCAAAAGACTATCACTGTCAGTATTTGATGAAAAGCACCAGTCGAGATTACGCGACTTTATAATGATTTAATTTGATCGGGTCTAATATGGTACCTCGATATTACTAATATAAAATTTGCTCAATTTGCTCAATTTATTTATGAAAAAATTTAAGATACATATATCAGATATTAATGCAAAATATTTCTTAACAAAGAATATAAAAATAAAATACTGTATATAAATTAATGTAGTCTAATTCTAATGATCAATCGTTCCTGCTGCATAATTTAAATCCTACAGTATAAACAGTCAGTAAAAGAATTAAGTGACCGAGATACTGTATATAGACAGCCTGTGGATGAGTAGATGATTGATTATTTTCATTTGATAAAAGATTCGCTTTTCTATATTCTTCTACTTCTTTGAATTGTTCTTCAATCTCATTATTTTGAAATTGTAAAACTGATTCATATATTTCAAAAGAATTTGGTCTATTTTCTGGATTTTGGTCACAACACTTTTTCATTAGAACAATATAATATTTTGGTGCTTCTAGTTCATTGACTTCAGGTCTAATTCCATTACAAATGCCTAATGCCAAAAACTTATCATGTGGACAATTAGCAAAAGGTTGTCTCCCGGCTGCTGTAAAATACATAATTATACCAAAACTATATATATCTGTCGCTTGAGTATAAGGCTTTCCCCTTAACACTTCAGGAGCTACATAAGGCATAACCCCATAAATTTTTGTTTTATCTATATTATCAACTTCTCCACATAATCCTATATCTGAAATAGATAAAATATTTAAAATATTACAATCAAACATGCTTATGTCATTAATAAAAAATAGTATATTTCCTGTATGTAAATCACGATGAACTATCTTTCTTTGATGTATCTCTTTAAGTCAATACTAATATTAAATAATGTATTTAGTTTAGACAACCAAGAAAAATTTCTGTTATTTTTATTCATCCAATTATTAAAGTTTCCACCTTCCGCATATTCAAGGACCATAATATATTCTTTAGTATTCAGATTTTGAGATAATCCATATATTCTAAGAATATTGCTACCATAGTTATTTACCGAATATTTTTTGATCTGTTAAACCATAAACAAAAATATTATTAATGTAAAAATAATAAATTAAAATTTATAAAGAAAATTACTACAACTCATTTATAAATTCGTCAGTAATATTTAGTGAGTTATATAAGCATTTTAAAGTAACCTTTTTATCTGCTTGCTTTTTATCTGATTCATAATATACGGTCCATCTTTCCATACTGCTGCATATACCATTGCAAAACCACCTTTATCTATTTCTTTAATATTATAAAACTGACTGTATGGTATCCAGTCAAATATAATATCATGGGATTCATGGATTTTTGATTTCATTTCTTGAATTAAATTATCAATTTTTTCATTTCACTTATCTGATTTTTTGTCATGTAATATACATCATTAGAAACTATAATGTATTCTCTTGTAATTGGATTTTGAGATATTCCATATATTTTTACATTTTTATTAATTAATAATTGTTTAATAATTAGTAATTATTTACATTTTATAAACAACAAGCAACCCAAATATTCACAGGTTGAAAGCTAAAAAATCGGGCATATACCCTATTGGTAACTATTAAACTAATAGGTTAGCCAAAAATTAGTAATCAATAGGGCATATACCCGATTGATAACTATTTAAAAATTTAGGCTATCCGGATTGAAAGGATTTATTAATTTAAATAAATTAGGTAATTATTCAATAGTCATCATTTGGTTTATTACTATATGTGAAACTGAATCCAATAGGAATAAACCGATTGGTAGCTATAAATTACTCTGTTGGTCTAATAATACCATACATATATATTACATTATTTTACTGAATTTATAATATTTGACAATACATTTGATATGAATATTTACTAAGTATACTTGGCAAGTATAAAATAAAATAACTGATTTATTACGATTTATTAATAATAGAAATTATAAATGGAACTTCCTATTAATCGGTACTACTGCCATATAAGTTTTCGCCTTCCATCTGCTGTTATTGTTATTGTTATTTGTTCCGATTGTAAAATTAGTAGGAATAAACCGGCTATAAATATTATGAATTGGAATTATACTATCACGAGACATTTCATAAAATTCATTAAGTTTTCAGAGTTCAATATTAACACCTGTCTCTTATACACATCTAGATGTGTATAAGAGACAGGCTAAAAATACCGGCGGCAGATCGGGTTCAAAAATTTAGTTTGTCCCAGGTCTTATGAAAATCTCCGCAGTACATCCATATCATGTTAACTACCCCAGTCGCACCGACAAAAAATTTAGCACAGGGCCGGCATTACAGCATATGCACGAACACGTGAAAATAAACAGTGACGAATAATGGGTGATGAATAAGTTTTTACCTACTCGAAAAAACGTCCCTCAATAAGTGTGACGATATGATAAATTAAAATATGTCACGTGATCGCTAAATTTAGTTATATCATGTTGATCTACAGATTTTGGCCAACGCACTTGCCTTTCTAAAGTAAAAATAAAATAAAAAAAATGAATTGACATCAGTATTTATTATATACAAAAGTTAATTTTAACTTTGAACATAGGTAATTAACAAACTATTATTTAAACTTTATATAAAATTTTTATTACTTGAGTTTTATTTCCTTTGGTCATCCTTAACAATTGCAACAACTAACTACTAAAACATTTGAGTTTGCATCACCGGATTTGAGTGGCTAGATTTTAACTATTTAACAAGTATGGAAACATTCATTTACAGTATCTATTTTTATTAATAGAATCTGAATATTTGTAAAAAATAAATATTTTTTTAATGAAATTAACCGTTCTTCGGACATAATTTCAGTACTTTGCTAAATGAAATAGGATTAATAATGTATGACTATTTCAAATAATGACTTCTATTTTATATGGCGAACTTTATTTCTATAGTCAGTTACGATCTATATAGCAAAGAGTTTCGAAAAGTCAAAAGACTATCACTGTCAGTATTTGATGAAAAGCACCAGTCGAGATTACGCGACTTTATAATGATTTAATTTGATCGGGTCTAATATGGTACCTCGATATTACTAATATAAAATTTGCTCAATTTGCTCAATTTATTTATGAAAAAATTTAAGATACATATATCAGATATTAATGCAAAATATTTCTTAACAAAGAATATAAAAATAAAATACTGTATATAAATTAATGTAGTCTAATTCTAATGATCAATCGTTCCTGCTGCATAATTTAAATCCTACAGTATAAACAGTCAGTAAAAGAATTAAGTGACCGAGATACTGTATATAGACAGCCTGTGGATGAGTAGATGATTGATTATTTTCATTTGATAAAAGATTCGNAGATCATTGATTCTGCAATTCTGCACAATAATTCTTAGCAATTCCGGTTCAATATATCGTTTTGAATTGGGATAGGAACCTAAAGGGCAAATTTATGATATATTAATTAAAATCCGAGACATTCATTGTTAAAATATTTACCTAAGATCCCATTCATTTGTTCAAACGAATAACACCAAAAAGAGTATATTGGACCATAGTCACGACAGCATTCGGCTATATGCATAGAAAGGTGTATATTTTGTGTAATTAAATTTTCACCATAATGTTTTTCAATGAGTTGACCAATTTTGAGCAATCTGTTATGGGCCTCATTTATTTCATTGGTATTAATGATTCGGCAAACCAACAAGGAACAGGTTCTTACGAAATTTCCTAAAATTTCACGATCATTCACTGATAGCAAATCTCACATTATTGGTGTTGAATATACCAAAATGAAGGTTTTCCACTGATCAGCAGTGAATCCAGAAAAACCTTCCCCTGTCTATATTTTATTTGGAATTCGACCCATGTCGGCTGGCAGTTTAATATTTTCTGCTCGTTTTTCCATAATTTTAAGATCGTCCTTAGATATTTTTCCTCTATCAATCCATAAACGTTTTACAATCCAGCTGGCAATTCTGAGAAATAAATTATGCATTGGGTCTACGACGCAATGTCTTATTGGATTGAAGTAGGGTAATCTTAACAATTCTGTCCACCTAACAAGATTATTTGAAACATGCTGATTTCTTTCATCTTTTGTTTTGCAATTACGCCATGCAATAGCATTTTGTCGGAAATCTTCTAAATCCCTTGGTTTAAACCAATCAGTCATATCATCTAAATTACCAAAATTACCATTGTTAGCTCGTTTGTAGCACCGATGACAAGCTGCCAACGCTGATATATGGCCGCATAATTTTCTTGCAGCAGGAATATCGCTACTGCAACAGATAATTGCCATTCGTACTGTTTTGCCAGTTGGATTATTCGGCGTTTTTATAATAACTCCTGTCCAAAATTCGAGTTATTCTTTAACAATTGGCGATAAAAAATGATTTATGTTATCTGCATGTACTTCGTGCTGTCCTGGAAGTAGTCCTAGGATTAGCATATTCTCCTGTCTAAATCGGATTTCATGAGGAAGATTGCATATTACCCCATAAATCACACCCGTGCTATATATTGTTCGATCGAAAGGTTGAAACCAATCGAGGTTAATCATTATTCCTAGATTGGAATCAGCTAGTTCGGGCGTAAAAAATATGGTATCATCTGACTTGAATGTTTTCCAAACCTCTCCATCATAAATGTCTGCTAATATATCTCCGTTAACATGCCGATTTGCCCATTTTGCTAAATTTTGTTCAAAATTAGGACGTTGATACATAGTAAAAATTTGTGTTTTTAAATCTGGCATAGGGAATACTATGCGAGGACGCTTTATATAACCATTATTTACTGGAACGTTCTTTAGCAATTCCTCTCCGCAAACCTCCCTATACTTTTTCATCTGATGTTTAGGAAACTCAACTCGACTACACTTGAGTCCTGGTGACGCTTCCGTTACTTGTTCATTTTGTCCTAAAATTTCCCCAATTTTATACAGATTGTTACATTTCGGGCACACAGCATATGTTTTTGTTTCCTTGTTAATGCGTAGCAATTTCTTTGCAGAATAGGATGAGGATGGGAAATTAGCAAATCTTTTTGGATCAGCATCTTTCAATACTTGGCTAAAGAATCCAATCAAGGAAGATATGGAAACTTTGGAATGACGGAATCTTGATTGATACTTAAATATCCATATAAGTATCCAAGATTCAGAAAATTCTACATCTGAATCAGCACACATGAAATCTTCATCATCGCCAAAATCCTCTAATTCAGGAGCAGCGAATCATTCATCATCAGAAGTTTCATCATTCAAGTCTTCACTTTGGTCGTCATCAATCGGTGAGCTGAAGCCAGTATCTTCGTTATCAAGTTCATCAATCAATACATCATTAACAGCTGATTCCACTGCTTTAAATTTCTCTTTTCTTTCTCGTTTAGTCGGGATGTGAATTG